CTCTCTCTCTCTCTCTCTCTTTCTTTCTTTCTTTCTTTCTTTTTTTCTTTTTAAATCAAACCCTGGGATTCACTATGAATTCTGAATTAGTCTGGAGATGTTACCTGGTGAGATTTCCTCCTTATCCATTGTGCAGTGGCTAGTATTTCTATTAGGCCTACTGGCTGATCTGATGGTGAAGTGATCTTCTTCCTGTATTATTAGATGTTCAGAGGAAGTGACGAATGTGGACTTTGGGTCTCAGTTAATCTTCCCCAAACTCCAGCCACTCCTTTTCTAACTCAGACTTCCCAACCACTCTTTCACTTCTTTTCAGGAATTCCCAGCATGCTTTTTGATTAGCATGATATCATACATGATAAGGAAAACCCAAAGAAATAGAATGACTACATATATTGCTTCTCAATCAATGACATGACTCTTGTGACTTGCCTTAATCAGAGCTTCTCCTCAATCCATCCTACCATATCTCCACCTTTTCTTTTCCTTTTTTTCCCCTTCAAGTTGAATTTATTTCTGATTCGTTGTTCTAGCTAATACTCATTGAACCTAGAGTTCTGCTACTTAAAAAAAAAAGTTCTCTTTAGCAACAATCAGAAAGCCAAAATTAAATACAAAATTGCTTTTAGAAGAAATCAGAGATCCAGAATAAAATTTCAAAATATACATTTAATTTTATGCAACTAATCAAAATATTATCTTGTAATTTTTAATAATTATATTTCTTCTTTGTATTCCAGGTGTTATTGCATTGAATTTTTATGAATTCTAGGCAGCATGGTGTAATAGAAAGTTTTAAAACATTATGATAACTATTTATGATGGAGATTTTTCCTCTGCCCCTAATAATCAAAACTTATCAGTCCTAACTCTTGTCTCATTAGGACATAGCTCTGTCCAAAAGCAAATCTGAAACTTGATAAATTAATGAGAAATATTATTGGTTGGTAATGGAAAAAGTTATTTTTCTTAGATCACATTGGCCTTTTAATAAAGGTCATCAATATCTTTACCCAGTGAAGCAATTAATTACTCTATCAGTTAATAGATAATGATAGAGCAAATATAATGTGCTTGCTCCAGCCACTCACACTAGAATTGGGAGATGGGGACCTGCTATTCCCTTAGCTGGTCTCAGTTCCTGTGCACGTCTAACAGCGCGAACCTTTCTCTATGCTGATAGTTTTCCTGGTGTTCAAAGAAAAGGAATTTTTCATGTAATATAACCCCTAAAGGCAAGCCAGCTACTTTTTCTGGGGAAAAATAGAAAGAAAAAAAACAACAACAACCATCACTTGCCATACTGGAGAAAATTTGTACTCTATGCAAGTTTTACCTAAGAGTCAATTTTAGACCTGAAGATATAACTCCAGAGCAATTGACAAGGAAAAGTATCCTTAAGAATGTCGTGGGTTGAGATTAACAGAAAACTGAATTTAAACGAGTTTAAAACAATAAAGGGGAATGTATTGGTTTATCTGACTAATAAGTCCAGATATAAGATGGACTTCAGGCAAGTTCTAACCTAGTGGCTTAATGATGTCTTTTCTTACTGTCTGTCCAATCTGCCTTACACCATGTCAGCTTCATCCTAAAGATGGCTTCCCTCTACAAGATGGCTACTAGAACCAACCAAGACTAAGAGCTTCTTATTACATATCCACTGAGAGAGAAAGAGCTTCCCTAAACAACCAGAAGAAGGCCTGGGCTTCCTCTGGTCAGATCATCTTAAGTCACATGCCCATGTCTAAACCAATACGAGGCGAATGGAATGGGGTTTCACTGTCTGTTATGAATAAAACAAGGCCTTCCCTGGATATTGGCCAAGTTACTACTCTAATCATTGTGCTAGGCTCTAGGCCATAGAAATGAGAAAAACATGACCTCACCTTTTGTTATCAAGTAGGAGAGACAAACACATAAACAATGTGATAAGAGCTTTGACAGGAGACAGTAAAAGTTCTGAGAAGCAGAGAATGGCGCAAATAACTAGCCCTTTCTGATACAGATTTGTCTCTTTTAGCTATTGCTGATAGGGGCTAGGAACTTCAGAGATCAAATTGCACAAGCTAGGAACCTGAGGCCTGAAGAGATGTGCTGGGTGTTAGGGCTTGAGGAGATGTGTTGACCCACCACACAATAAAGATGTGAGCCTCCTAAGAAACTTCTTTATTGCCTCTTTCTGTTTTACGTATTGGAATTTTGGTTTACTTGAAGAGTTTCCCTGCTAAATGAATGCAAACCACTGACCTAGCCCACTCCCCTAGTTTTAATGGGAAGGAAATTAGAGTTCATAAAAAAATAATGGATTTATCCAAAGTCATGCATCATACTAATGCTTAAGCCAAGACAAAAACTCAAAGGTCCTGACTCCCAGCCCAGTGCTAATTTCATTGACTCATTACCAGGCTTTGAGAAAGAAAATTGGTGGCCAGTTCATGATAAACAAATGCCCAGTGATGAAAGGATCTAAAGATATTAGAAGAACTGGCATTAGGGCTGAGACAGGTAGAGGATGGACTTCAAGATGTTTATAATGAGGGTGAGGGCCGACTGTTTGGATCCCCTCCTCTTGGAATATAACAGACATGCAGAAAATTTTACTCCCACCAAGCTGAGGACTGGGAGGAATAGGCTAGATATTGGCCAGGTACTCTAAGGGGAGCCCAGGAGTGGCAGGACCAGCATGAGCAGACTGTTTAATTCTCTTCTTGCCCACAGCATCTTATGGCAGGGTAGACAGAACCTTGGAAAAGCAGCCTCAATTTCTTCCCAGATCACAGAGAACATGCACAGGGAAGATCCAAAGTGGGAATCCTACACTCACAGAAGATATAGATGTTGCTGAAGCCCTGATTGAGCCAAACTCTGACATTCGAGGGAAGAAATCTACTCTGGGATCTATCCGCTTCACCAAAATCCAGCTAGCAATAGATCAATAAATCAACAAATCCAGTTAGCCTATGTCGATAGGTCAATTCTCCTGACACAAACTATACCTTCATTCATTCCCTCTAGGTATGGGAATATAGTGTATGTGATGACATACACATTTGTCTAAAAGAACCATTTATCTCTGTATCTTTCTTACTGAGTCTTAACTTATGAGCATTATTCTCTGCACCTTAGTAAAACCTCTGCCATTGTGAGGCAGTCCTAGGGAAATTTCAACAACTCTGTCCACACCTAGGGCCTCCTGGGGCCACTGACTTTAAAAAAAAAAAAAAAAAAGCACTCCACTCTTTGGATGGCAGAGACCAATTGCAATGCATTCCTTTTCTCTTTGCTTTATTCTCCCTCCCTTCCTTGTCTGGCTTTCTCTTCCCATTTCTCCTTTTCTCTCTCCTTCCTTCATCAGTTCCCCTTCCCTGTCCCAAGCCTTGCTGGTCCTCCAGCTCCACTGGGACACTTGTATTATGGAGTAAGAGCACAATCCCAGAGAAACAAAGAAAGCAAGAGGGCACATTTTCTTGCCGCCGCAACCTCTACTGCCTTCCCTTTCCCATTCAGTCTTCCCAAGATGGATGTTACTCGCCTGTTCCTGGCTACCCTGCTGGTCTGCCTGTGTTTCCTCACTGCCTACAGCCACCTGGCACCTGAGGAAAAGCCCAGAAATGACAGGAGTCTGGGGAACAATTCCTCCATGAAGCTGTTGGATTCCCCTTCTGTCTCTATCGTGGGTAAGTAGTCTGGCCTGGGACACAGCTCTGGGTTCTGGCCCATGAGAAGGGGCTGTAGGATGTCAAATATGCTCCCCAGGCTGATAGCAGGATCCATTGCCATAGGTCAGGGCTCTTTTTGCTCATTCCGTGAAATAATCCTGGAGGAATAAACCATCCCATGACTCATTTGGTTTGGGAAAGCCCTGCATGCCAACAATCTGCTATACAGCTTAGCATGTTAGAAGCTCTGAGAAAGCATGAAGTCAAGACAATTAGTGAACTTGGTTTAATGTAGCATTTCTGAAACCTATTAAATCACAGAACTCCTATCAATGGTAACAAACTTTAGGAAATCCTGCAGAATATAACCAAGTTTGGGATGAGCAGTCTTGTCATGCCAGGCTTGAGAATGCCCAGGATACATATCAGGAGCATTAGAGCTGGCACTAGAGATCTTCTGGTTTGACTTCACTTGCTAATAATAATAACAAACGTACTTATTGTGTGCTAAGCACTATGAGGTGAATACGATTTTCACAGTGGAGAAAATTTAGGCTTAAGAAAGTTAAGCAACTAACATAAGATCACACAGTTCTTAACTGACAGACCCAGAATTCAAACTCAGGTACTTAACTCCAGAACCTAAGCTCAAAATGGATATTCCTTACTGCCTTGCCTCTCACTGGGAAAAGAGGATATTCTAGATGTATCAGCAAAGTAAGGCAAGGGAAAGGGCTGGGGCACATCAACACTCATTGATCACCTTCGATGTGCCAGACTTTCCACTCTATAAACATACCTTATTTATCCTCAAGACATCCTGCAAGTATTACCCTATTTGCATATGAGAAAACTGAGTCTTCAGGATGTTAATTAAGTAGGTTGGCTAAGGCCACACAGCTGTGTGGGCAGAGGCTGGATTCACATCAGGTCTGCCTGGCTCCAAAAGCTCTGAGAAATGGAAAATAGGAATACAGGAAACACAGGTTCACCCATGTACAAGACACCAAGTCCATTTTCCAGGGCCCCCTTGAATCTCCTCTTTGCCTTCCCTCAGAAGACACTTTGTTCTCAGTCTCCAGTTCCAGGTCAGCAGCCAGGTTAACAAGAACCTGCTGGCCTAAGTACCAAGAAGTGATTCATTTAGCCAACGTCTCCTCCTCTCCCCTACCCTGGGACTTCCAAGAACCCCTCAGCTCAGGGGCCCCAGAAACATCTGGCTTTGCTCCTTCTGTCTCTCTTTGAAGCGTTAAACAAGAAATCCAAAACGATCAGCAGAAAAGAGGCGGAAAAGAAGAGATCTTCCAAGGTAGGACTGTGAGTTCTCTTTGTGGGGGTGGGACTTAAAAGGAGAAGACCCCCAAGTTCTGGCTAGAAACTCAAAGATTTTCCAGGCCTACATGAACAAAAGAAGCTGACAGCTATTTAAAGGCTTCCTGGCTTTTAGCCCTGAACCAGACCTTTACAGAAGCCCAGGGAGCTAAGGTTCACTGAGTAAAATAGTTTACCTGATAAAAAGTATCTTCCTATACTAGCTAGCCCCCTGTCTGAAATTCATCATCACTTATTCTTTTGGATGAATGCAATGTTTCCCAAACCTCAGTAATTTCAGAACCATTTCACAACTTTTGCCATATCTGAGTTTCATCTCCTTAATAAATATAGTTGTTTAAAATTAAAACTTAAAAAAAGTATACAACTATGATACAAAACCAATATCACTTGTCATAAATAGAAGGTAGAAATAAGTAGAATGAAAATAAAATATTGTTCGTCGATTTTGGCTGGATGGTGTTGCCAAAGGCTCTAAATCTGAGGCTTACTCTTTGTGTTAAAAGGCAGAAAGTGTTGGCACCAAACTGAGCCTTTCAAGTTGAACGAGATTGAAAAAAGAATCCTTTCTCACTATGTGATTCGGCGTCATTCAATATTCATGTACTAGTTAAAATCATACCACTATGATACAGGTTCCCACATTTGGGAAATAATTGATTAAGGCATTGTTGAAATGCTCATGTTATTCCTGTCTTAGAGGCTTCTGTTTATCAGATCAGCTGTAACCAGAGCAGAACGTCCTGGACTAGGCATTAGGAGGTAGGACCTGGCACTGTCTGATCTTGAGAAAGTCTCTGCTTCTCTCTGTGCCTTCTGTAAAGTGAACAAGCAGATCAGATGATTGATAGATAAGAGTATGTAATTGGTCAGTAGTATATTTATATGCTAGGTACTGGGAATATAGAAGTGAACAAGGGAGATACATCTTTGTTCTCATGGAATTTACCTTCTTGTGAGGGAAACCGGCAAACAGCAAGTGAATCAAAAACAGATTAAATAAATTCAGAATATGATAAACTCTGAAGGAATTAAAGCATAGTAATGAGATACTGAAAAGAAGCGTGGTCTCCAAAGAAGCCCTCCAAGGAAGCAGCATGTAGGCTGAAAAACTCAATAATCTCGAGCACCAACGCCCAAGAGAAATCCAATGTGAGCCACACATATAATTTTAAATGTTCTAGTAGCCACATTTTTAAAAAATAAAAAGAAACACATGGAATCAAATTTACTATTTTAGTTAACATATCCAAAATATTATTTTAATATGTAATCAACATTAAAAAGTTGGGATATTTTACCTTTTTTTCCTTGGGCTAAGTCTTGAAACTTGGTTCAGATTTTACACTTACAATACTTCTCAATTCCAATGCTAATTTTTAAAAGTCAAACGTAGTCCTCACAAAATGATCGTGTTCAACAAAAAAATTTACACTACTTCAGTTTTAAATTTAATTTAAATTAAATAAAATTTGAACATTTAGTTCTTCACTTATGCTAGACACAATTTCAAGTACTCAGTAGCCTCATATGTCTAGTAGTTACCTATATGGAACAGCATAGCAAAGAAGGTCTCCAGTAAAGGGAGGAGCCAGCTCAAAAGCCCTGAAGCAGTAACATTTTTGTGTTTGGTGCACAGGAGGTCAGTGGGGTGTAAAAGTGGAAATTCTCCAGTTTCAGGGAGAGCAGTTACTCAGTTACAGGGAGGTTGTATCTCCAGGCGCCAGCCCCAAGGAGAAGCGCAACATTCCAAGGTGAAGATGATAAAATTGTCTATTAGGCCTTGTTTGAGCTGAGAGTTCCCCCAGATACCTTTATCTATGTACAAAAGGTTAACGACTAACTTCTGCTTCTTGTGACCTATTCATTCAAAAATGTAGTACGAGACATTATAAGCTACCCACCTCTGGAAGTTCGGGGTTGATCTCCTCTAACCCTGCATGGTAGAGAGTCAGTCGCTGGCCGGCTAATAAAAGCTCATAATTAATCTCAATTGGCTTCGTGGGTCTCAGAATCATTCACACCATAACAGGGGCAGTGTGGTGAAGACAGGTGAGAGAGGTGGCTGGGGCCAAACCACAAAGGGCCTCAAGGGCCAAAGTAAAGTTTATGTTTTATTCTAAGTACAAAGAAAAACTATTGGGGGGCTTCAAACCAGAGTGGGATGCCGTCATAGGTCTTTGGAGAGGTTCCTTTGGAGCATTGGAGGCTGGACTGTATGGGGCCGGAGCAGCAGACATAAGACAGTGTGGCCTGGCCTAGCAAAGGTGAAGAAGTGGGTGGACTCCAGATTTATTGGAAAGGCAGAACTGACAGGGATTGCAGATACACCGGAAGGGGAAAAGAAAGAGATGGTAGTTAAAAACTGGAGCTGAATGGGATCCCCTAGGGAGAGAAGTGGGCCTCATCAATTTTGACGGGGATGGAGACAGAGGAGACCCCCTAGGCCTGGTAGGTATGAGTCGAGCAGGCACAGGCAGTGGCAGCGGGTGGGAATGTCTGGTTGGAGGCCTCCGTAACCCGGAGTTCCCAGGCAGAGGTGAGGACAGGTGAGGCGCGCGTGGGCGACTGGGGCAGCCCTGGTGTTTCCCCACAGAGAAAGCCTTCGATGAAGGTGGAGCGGCACCGGCCCCCACTGCCCGCCCCCTGCGTGGCCATCCGTAACAGCTGCAAGTCGCCAGCGCCCGCCTGCTGTGACCCGTGCGCCTTCTGCAGCTGCCGCTTCTTCCGCAGCGTCTGCTAACTGCCTCGTGCTCAACCCCAACTGCTGAGCCTGCTTGCCTTTCCGCCGCCTGCGGGGCAAGACGGGGCTCCCCAGGGACCCTGGGAGCCCTTCTAGAGCGGTAATTTGTAGTAGGTGTGGCTTTTCCAGACTGGGCAAGGGCATGGCGATTGAGGCTGGGGCATAGCTTTCAGGACTTCAAGGAGACTTGGCTTGGGCTCAAATCCAAATAGCATCTGTAAGCTGCTTGACCGTGTGCGGCTGTTTTTTTAAAGGACCCAAAAGATCCTTTTTCCTTCCCAAGTCCACTTGACTGTGGAAGTCCCGCATACTGCGCACGCGCTATCTCCGGGGCTGGGGAAACCAGGTTACTCCCGCCCTAAGGCAGCACTCCTGATAAGCGTTTCTCTGGACCCACAGCTGGAGACAATGCTGCCCTCTACCTTCAAACCTGGGAACACCCGAAGATGCCTCCAAATCCCAGAAATGCAGACTAGCCAGACAGAAAGGAAACATTAAGAAACTGCCATTCAGTCTTTCACCTTTTCCCCCTTCTAAGGAGCTCCTCTCACCTCCAGGGAAAAAAATGAATGACTACAACTCCATACACGATGTCGCTGGGCTGTCTGTCCTGGGGGGATTTGCAGATGAAAACGGGTGGCTGAGGTGGCTGGTTGTGACTGGGCAATGCCATGGGTCCCGACAGCCAGAAGGCTCTGGCCTGAGGTTCCTATAGCTTTAGGCGGCTCCCAAACAATGGTCCCACTTGTACCCACTCCTCCCTTTCTCCCGGGGATTCCCAGAGGGGCTGGAGTTTCTCCCACTCCTAAGCTAAATGAACACTGATCACTGGTCCCCAGGTATTCTAACATGACAGCCTAGAGTAAGAAGGAATTCAGAAATCCTTTCTCACTCCCCACCCCAGCTCTGCCAGACAGTAACCAGGCATTGGGCCTGGGGCTTGCTGATCTGAAAACAAAAGGAAACCTCGCTCAAATGGAGTCAGGAAGCCAGAAGGGAGAGCTTTCACACAGTACCACTCCATGTCAATTACAGACCCTAAGGGATGAATCCTCAAGAGGAAAGAATCAATTATAGGCCCCAACAGGAAAAGATATACATCTCCCACAAGAAATCAACTACTCCAGCAATTCAGCCAATGAGAAACCATCATCTTTCCAATGGACTTTCGTTCAATACCCCTCCCAACTTCTTTCTCCATAAAGTTCCTCTCCTTTGTCAGACTTGCCTATGGTTTGCGTTATAGCTTGCTTGTCCTGAATTGCAATCATTTGCTGTTTCTGAATAAATTCCTTTTTGCTGGTAAAATAACTGACTTTTATCTTTAAGGTCAACAATAAGCAGAAGTAACATTTGTCCTGAACTATTAGGGCCTGTCTCCTAAAATATCCCAAGCCGCTGCCTGAAATTCCATTCTTAGAAATTCTCTGAGTCTGTGAGAAACCGAGTGCAGTGTTATATCTTTGGAAGGGGGAACATTTGCGATACAGCTTTGAGGGGAAAGGGGATAGTGTGGGCAGGGTCTGTGAGGAAGGACCAGCCAGGGTCAGGGGTAACATAGAAACTCCCAGCACCTTGAGGGGCAAGGGCTGCAAATGACATCATCAACTTGCACCGCTTGGCTGGAGGTATCCCTGCCAGTAGGAAGAAAAGCTGAGCTGCCACCCCCTCAGTACCCACCAGAAGCTGGAGCTCTTCCTCAAGGAATCACTATAAGCAAGAAACAGGAAATTGCAAACAATGGTGGTATAAGATAGATGATTTTTTAAAACCCGTACACAAGAAAAATTCTAGAGGTTATGAAACAGAAAAATTTGGAGTAGTTGCCTCAGCCCTGATAACTACCATGTATCTGTCTTTGGAGGTAAGGACAGTGGGGCTCATAGGCCAGCACAGGTGAGGCCACCTCCCCTGGCTCACTTGTCCACTTGCAGTCTTCCATCTTTCAAATTCCATCACACTCCTTCCTTTCCAAGTACCCTTTGCCCAGCTGGAGATCCAGGTTGTGCCTGCAGTGTCATAACCAGTATACAGTGGAGGAGGCAAAACCCAGATCCTGAACTTGATAGAGCAGAAACCATCTGGATAGAGCACAAGAAAATGAAGGGTGCTCCAGGCTAGGCTGGCAACATAATTCTGCACACTAGGTCTCTTGCGTTCTCTGGGCTTCCTTTTATTTGTCTATAAAATGGGAAACTCCTGCTGTTCTTGTTATAAACCTAAGATAGTGATGCTTCTTGTTCCTTAAAACCACAAATAGAGAGAAAGCCGCTAGTTGCTTGTTTACCGTCATTAAGGCTGCAAGCCCACAGGACAAGAACTTTTTGTTCCTTGTATCACAACTGCTGAGTAAACATCATTAGTGAGAATATTGGGACATACTGCAGCCATTGCTCCTGTTTTCCAAACATTGTTCACCAACCAGGCACCATTTGGCTCCAGGATTGAGGCCAGGGATGCAAAACCAAAGACCCAGCCCACTAATGACAAAACCACTTGGCTGCTGGGTCCAGACAACTGCATGGAAGATCAGCCTGTTCATTCATTCAACAAATGTGTCTTGAGCACCTACTGTGCCAGGCATTGTGCCAGTTGCTGAGTACTATGGTGAACAAGTCCAATATGGATTCTTTCCTTACAGAACTTATGGTCCAGTGAGCCATGACCACCGGCCCTTGTTAGGGACTAGAACCATTGTTAGTAATGATTCCTTTTCCTGGAAAAAAATCCAGCCATGGCCAGGCTAGACAGTACAGCGGGGGTCTCAGCCTCCAAGTTGCGGACTGGTACCTGTTAGTGGCCTGTTAGGAACTGGGCTGCACAACAGGAGGTGTGCGGCGCACAAGTGAGCAAAGCTTCATCTGTATTTGCAGCTGCTCCCCAGCACTAGCATCACTAACTCAGCTCCACCTCAGATCATCAGGCATTACATTCGCATAGGAGCACCAGCCCCTGGTGCCAAAAAAGTTGGGAACTGCTGCAGTACAAGATCCTTGGCCAATTCCTCCTTTCCCCACGAAGCTTTGATGGCAGAGCCCAGACATCCGGAGTTGGGGTTGGAGGCTTAGCAGACACGTCATCTTTCATTGTGGGTGCCTGGTCAGTGTCACACATGTGACAGATTGGCAGACGGGAGATCAGAGGGAAGGTTGATGTGAAAGGAGTGTTTTTTTTTTGGTTAAAAAAAAGGTTCTGAGAACTGGCAGGACATCTCCAAAGAGGAAAGGGAGTGGGGGGAGGCTGGATAACAAACCAGAACCCCTAGGGAACTGGAGGTAGGGGGACTACATGGGATCTCACAGGAAAGAACATCTGGAAAGGTATTTCCTGTGTCTGGAAGGAGACAGACTTGAGGGAAGGGAGTGTGCTTACACACAGGCAGGGGCCCCTTGGAGGCAGCAGCATGGCTGCTGTGGGAAATAAGGCTTTTAACATCTCTGGCTCAGATTACCAGTGGCCTCCCCGTCTTTTCTACTGAGTCATTGTCCCCAAGACCGCCATGGTAGAGTTGCCGAGGTGGCCACTGCAGGCAGCACTCTCTGGTGGTAGTCTTGTCTTTAGGGGACCTAGATTACAGTTCCAGAGTTACTATCCAAGTGTCAGAGGGTCTGAAACCAGGCTCCCTTCCTCCTAAACCTGAGCCTTTGGTATGGAAAGGGCTTGGATTTCGGGCTCAGAGTCCTACCTAGTACAAAAGGCAGCTCACTCTCATGGCTTCTCAGAAGCTGTTTCCTGACTTGTAAAACAGGAATTCGAGTCCCTACAAGGTTATCATTGTGCTTACTTAGCACAATGCCTGACACACAGTTAGGTGTACAAGAAACAGCAGTGGGCATCGTAGTGAATTTTGGTCTGATTGTTTTGACCACGGGTGTCATGATCAGTTGACAAGTGGGTCCCATGTCATCTGTTACTAATGATTATTTAAGTTCCAAAGTTTGTGGAATCATACCATATGTGCACATAATTTACTGTATTATCTTGGGTCAGGTCACTTGGCTTCTCTGAACCTCTGTCCTCATTAGTAACAAAAGAGTAATCATACTACCTTATAGCCAGAGGCTGAGAATACATAAATGAACAAGTCATAAGTGTGTAATGTCCAATCAAGAAGGGACATTCCAGGAGTCTGTACAGCTCAAGGATTAAAACCATCAAGGTCTTATCTTGATGTCCAAGTCCTCTCCTTCCTGTCCCCCCGGCCACCTTTCTAGCCCTGTATCTCATAACTCCCCTTATGCTACAGCCAAACAACTCTTCCCTACCCCACTGCTCCCTCATTCGCTCTTGCTTAAGCTGTTCCGCTGCCTGGAATGCCCTTGCCTTCAATTCCTTCCGTTAAAAATCTTCGGTTATTTCAAAATCCATTTCAAGCACCACGCTTCCTCAATGCCTTTCTCCTACTGCTGCCAGGCACCGAACTCTAAAGCTGGGCAGAGAAAGGGAAGTGCCAGGAGGTGGCAAAGCTGTTTGTGTGTCTGCCTTCTTCTTTGAGCTTGAGATCCCAACAGGCTGAGGTCAGGTCTCAAACATCCCAGAATCCCCATTATGCCTTCCATCCATTGGATAACACTTAGAATAGTTTCCAGTTATAGTTCCCAGGAGGGTTCTCATTTTGCTTTGGTTTCCAAAAGTAGAACAGAGATTTAGTGAATGACCATTTAGGCAAATGGAGGGAGGCCAACTTCCCACTCAGCTTTCTGTGATTTGATTCATGATGAGGCCTCTTATAAACTGTGTGACTTTAGGAAAAACACTTAACCTCTCTGAGTCTCTATTCTCATCTATAAAATTAGGATAATATTACTAAACTTGTGTGAATAAAGAAAATCAACTACAAAGCCCCTCACACCCAGGAGGTGTTCAATGTTCAATAAATAGTTCCCCAAGGAGCACTGGATCAATCCAACGTGGCAATGGGGAGAAAAAGAAACAAAAAAATAGAGGGAATAAATATGAGCAGGGATTACAATAAATATAAAAGGGTTAAATTTACCTATTAAATGACCATCTTAGATTGGGTTAAAACAACAACAACAACAAACTATTTACAAGAGATGCACCTGAAGAGATAAGAGTTCTCTTCACTTTACCCATCCTTGCAAGCCCAAGGGTTTGCCTGCAGTCCTTATGACCTCACACTGTGGACAACCCCTTGTCTATTACTCCTTGTTCATGCCATACACTGTTGGCAGTAGATTATATAATAAAAGCTGAAAATTCTTTTAGGCACCAAAATTTTTATTTATTTATCTACTTTCCTTCTCTTTTTTAACATTATAAACATTATATAAACATTTTAAACCAAATTAATTTTTTTGATCCAGGGTTGTCATAGGAACCATCATGTTACAAAGCGGTAGCAGAGCCATGTCTGCTTTTAAGATTCTTTGGCCTCTCTCAACCTCCAGCTGTCACTTCTCTTGTCCTTCCTTGGCTGTCCCTTAACAGTATATTCTATAACCCCTGTAAAATAGGGACCGAAAGTACCAACCTCATTGTTCTGAGGTTTAAGAGAACGCCCAGCACTAAAGCCAGGCTCTCAGGAGCATTCAAACTCCAACAGTTCGTCCCTGCCCATTGATACAGCTCCTTCTTATCTGTCATGGGCTGAGGAACCAGTGAACCTGCAAACCAAGAACATGGGTTTAACATCCATAGGCAAGGTTAGAGCCTAGATGGGAAAGTGCATGGCCTTTGTGACCACTACTGCCAACTTCTAGCCTAAAGGACTGACTGAGCAATTCCAAAACCCCTGAGCTCATGGTTCCCTGTGGGTATCTCCCATGTACCTGCACTGTGACCAGGCTTGAGGAGGGGACTTCTCAATTCACCCTGCCACACTTGGAACAGTATGAGGGATGCAGCAGGGGCCAAAGACTGAGTAACCGGCCCCAGGAAGTCAATGGGGGACATTAACAAACCATTCTCAAAGTTGGCGCCATTTGCTCTGAGGGGAGAGGTAGGACCTGGACAAAGACAGCAGCTGAAAGGCAGAAAGGGCAGCAGGCCTGGTTCTCAGTAGCGGTAGTGATCTGGCTTGAAGGGGCCATCACGGGACATGCCCAAGTACTGGGCCTGCTTCTCAGTCAGTTTGGTCAGCTTCACGTTCAGCTTACCCAGGTGGGCTTCAGCTACTGCTTCATCCAGCTGGGGAGAAACACAGGAAGAACTGGAATCAGTGCCATCCTCTAGGACTCCTTACCTGCATCCAGCTCCCAAGAGAACCAAGAACTGTTCCTTTGGGGTATCTGCCATACGTGTTATGCATGTTATTTCATTCTATGCATATCCCCTCAGTGGATAAGCTGTTTTTGACTGCCCAGCTCCCCTTCCTCAAGAGGAAACAATGCTACATCCTCCCCTCCAAGTAGCCCTGCGGGGACCATCAATTACATCTTCTTTCTCACCCTCTACTAACCCAAGTAGCTAACCAAAATGATTCTCTGGAATTCATCTGTGGACATGACATATTTTCCGAGACAGGGTCTCTCCAATTCCACTGGGATTCATAAACAAGGAGGGTATCAGTCTCAGCTTACTAGTGGCAAGTCTGTTTGATAAGTGAATGTAGAGGAAAAAAAGAGCCAAGAGACAGAGGAAGACAGCTCTAATTACACTGAATCCTTGGATCCATTGTCTGAATCTTAGACTCTTCCAATTATATAGCCAATAGAGTTCCTTTTTAGATTAAACTGGTTATGGTTGTTTTAATTTGTCCTTAAATTCTTTGTCTACATATTCATAATATTCCTTCCTTCAAGAAGTGAAGCCTAATTCCTCACCCCTTGAGTGATTCACTTCTAATGAACAGAATAAAGCAGAAGTGATGGTGTGTGACTTAAAGAGTAGATCCTAAAAGACACTGTAGCTACCTCCTTTGCTCTCCCCGCTGGATCACTCACTCTGGGGAAAGGCCAGTTGCCATCTCATGAGGACGATTAAGTAGCCTATGGAGATACCCATGTGGCAAGAAGGAACAGACCTCTTGCCAACAGTGATGAGAAGTGTATCTTCCAGCCTCAGTCTAGCCTTCAGATGACTGCAGCCCTGGCTGACATCTTGAATGCAACCTAATGAAGGACCTCCTTGCTAAGGGGCCCTCAAATTCCTGACCCACAAAAACTGAAATAATAAATGTTTATCATTTTAAGCCAGTAAGTTTTGGAGTTAAACTGTTATATAGCAACAGATAATACACCAGTTTAAACCAAGTTTCCACCACTTGCTACCAAAAGGATCCTTGACTAATAAAAACTTGCCATCCTCCTTTTACAAATGTAGAAATCACAACTCAGAAAGATGAAATGACTTGCCCAAGGTCATACAGCTAGTTATTGACATAGCTAGGATTTGAACTCAGGTTCATCTGGCTCCAAAGCCCCAAAACTTGTCTCAAGCATCCCAACTTATGGCCTCGAAGGCAACTTTGAAGAGAGAAAACAGAAACCAAGAACAGAGGCTGAGATTAAATAAGGCCAATTTCTAAATCTGACCAGTCTGAAATGTATAAAAGGGACCTGAAAACAAAGGTAAGTGGTTACACTTAGAGAAAGGTCAACTCTGAGTGGGAGGAGGGGTCTCATTTTCTCAGCCTGTAGCTCTATGTGGGACCTCTCTTTACCCAAGCCCAGAGAGCTTTACACTCCCAAGTGGTTTCACATCCATTGTCTCATTAGAGCCTCACAAATACCCCTAAGGAGGGCAGGGTTTATTCCGTTTAACCAGTGAAGAAACTGGAGAGAGACAGGCAAAAGTGTGAGCAGAGCCTAGCCCAAGTCCATGTCAGTTCTGGAAGCAGAATGAAGTTCTCCAACTCCCAGAGCACCTATTGAATCCTTCCTTCATTTGCCCTGGCCTAGCCCTGAACCTACTTCTTCCTTCTCCCTGAACCCACATCTAGAAGGCAGTGTGTAATAATGGTTAACAACTTGGACAGACAGCTAGGTTCTACGCTTGGCCCAATAATTGACAGTTGTGGGAGCAAGTCAATCTCTGAACCTTAGTTTCCTCATTTGTAAGATGGATCTCTCCTGGCTTTTACAAAGATCAGTGATATTCAGAGGCCCTAGTACAAGTAGATGCCTTAATAAACAGTGGCTGCTCTCTCTGGCCTTGT